TCCCCCCCCACCCTTCCTCCGATTTACTGCAGCTTTGAGGACGACATGGGCTAATCAGAAAGCCCTGCCCAGCGACTTCAGCAGCGGGAGGGGAGAATTGCTTCCCAAAGCAGTGAGTGGGAGTCAGCTGGCCAAGCCATGGAGAAGGTGGTCATGGACACATGGGAGATCACTGTCCGGTCTGGCACCGTACTGTGCACCCCATGCAGGCAGGGGCTGGAGAGCTCCTGGAGAGACAGAGGGGACGGCGGTGAGGGCTTCATGGAGCCCTGGTGCCTCTGGTGCTTACAGGAGGTTTCCCCACTTTGAGGGTCAAGAGGATGCCCCTTTCTCTCAGCCTCAGCCCCGACGGGCTGCAATGTGAGGGCTCTGCAGAGGGCCGGGGCAGCCCAGCCTCTGTGGTGCTCAAAGAGCAAGGTTCCCTCGCATCCATCGCCAGCTAATCTAGGGCTCTACGGCTATGCCAAGCTTTGCCTCTATCAGCTATCTATCAGCTTTGCCTGGCAGGGAACGGTTGTGAGGATGGGGAGGAGACCTCTTACCTTTCGGTGTGCAAGCTTGGGCAGCTTTCCCCAGACAAGAGGTGGAATGAGAGCAAGCAGATGATGAGAGAAACAAAACAAAAGAGCGAGAGAATGAGAGCGGGAAGGAAATGGATGGTGGTGACAGGGAGAGGAAGTCTGAAGCTAAGACCGTGCAGGGGCTGCTCCTGCCCCCGGCCCAGGCAGCGGTTCTCTTTGGAGAAGCTCTGGGGCCAGCTCCATCACCGTGTGGACCTCGGTGCCTGCGCTCCCTGGGCCGGCAGGGGAGGAATATCATTCCTGGTTGGCCCCAGGGATTCCCAGGGAGGGACCCAGGCTTTCCCAGGGAGGGACCCTGGAGCCAGACAGCCTGAGGGACACACGGAGGCTGTGGCTGTGTTCAGCGTTTGCTGCCCCAGGGCTGCAGAGCCAGCCCTTTTCCACCTCCTCTTCCAGGATGTGGGGAGCTGGGCATGCCGACTCCTGCCAATCCTGGGGCCGGGTGGGAAGGCAGCCGACGGACAGCCCTCTGCTCCGCCGTGCTCCGTGCAGGTGGGGAAATGCCAGCCTTGGCATTTGACGGCAAGCCAAGGAAATGCCTTGCGTCTGCCAGCTGTTTGCAGAGGCCACCTCTGGAGCAAGCAGCTGATCCAACATGCTGACGCTGTGCTGCCTGACGGCGAATGGCCAGCCTCCTCCCAGCCGGGATGACACGGGGCCCACGCCTGGCTCCAGGAATTACGTGGGAAGGGAGGGGGAGAGCAGGCGCTTAGCTCAGCAAACCCCAGCTCCAGCCCCTTTGCTGTGCCCTTCACAGCTCTACCCTGGGCTCAGGCCCCGTGGTCCTGTTCTGACCCCCTCTGCCAGCTTCTCCCCACCTCCAAAGCAAAGTAACCGCCACTCTCCCAATGGAATCTGCTATTTCCAGCAGACACCCCCAGCCCCCAGCCCATCTCAGGTCCCCACTCCTTCCCCGGCTTGTGTCGTTTCTGGCATGGTGGGGCCAAGGTGCTACCCAGTGCAGAGGACTGCGACTGAGGAGCACAGACCAGGGAGATGAAGAGGGAAAACAAAGGAAGGGGAAAAAAGTGCAAACCAATGAGAGGAAGGAAAGAGGGAGAAGGGAAAAGCCAAAAGGAGAAAAAAGGGAACCAGAGCAGGGAGAGGGGGATCTGCCAGGTCCAGGCAAGTGATTGCTTGTGCCCCTCCTCACTCCCCCTCCCAGCCCCTGGAGAGGCCCAGCCACCCCATGCCCACGCTCCCACAAGTGCTGCAGTGGGCTGGGTCCAGCACCACGTCCACATCTCCATTTAATTCTAGCAAATACTTCAAGAAAGGGAGCGATGGGAAGGCACAGAGCTGGGAATGGCAGCACTGGAGCCTGTGGCTCAGCCCAGGTGGGCGAGCGGCCATGGGAGGCCGGGCAGAGGTCGGACAAAGTGTGTATATGGTGGCTTGCTGGCTGAGACGTACCTTGGCTCTGTTGATTGTGCAGTGGAGCGCGTTGTTCTCCTGATCGTACAGCAGGCTGAAATCCAACGTCCCCAGCGTGGCTGTAAAAGAAAAGAGGCTGCGATCAGCCTGTCACCCCGGAAGGGATTGTTGCCAGGGTATGGACTTGTGGGGGTGTGAGGAGCTCCCAGCAACAGCCCCCTCCCCGGTCAGCCTGCTGTGAACAAGCCAGCGAGCCTGGCGCTGCGCTGCCATGAGGGTCCTGGCACCTCCAGCCATGCACACGCAGCTCCATGGCCCCAACCCTGTGGGTACAGGAAGGCTCCCGTGGCTCTGGTGGGAGCAGGACGGGCTCTCAGGCCTGCAGGAAAAGGCAACACCTTGGCTCTGGAGGGGCACTAACGTGCAGCTGACACCACGCAGATGCCAGTCCACTCCGCGTGAACCCACAGCCGTGCCCAGGCAGCAAGGCATGTGGGGCTGGACACCTCTGGGGAGAGCCCCTGCCGCCCCGGCAGAAGCTGGGAACTTCTGCTGGAGTGGAAGCCACGCCTGGCCCTTCCCTTCCCTTCCCTGGTGATGGCACAGAGTCCACCTGGCCACAGCCCCGTGGGCTGACAGGCACTGCAGCTGGGGCAGCCACCACCCACCCCCTAGGAAACCACCTCCCTTGCTCCTCCTCGCAGGCCCTACTGTCCCGTCGCAGGCTGGGGGAGGCTGGGTACCCCCAGCCCAGAGACCCCTGCGCTCCCTGCTGCCATGGCTGCTGCCTGCTCTACAAGTGGCCCGGCGGCCTCTAGCGGCCATGGTGGGAATGTCGGACCAAACCTGTGTGGAGGCCCCATGCCTGCAGCCGCCCCAAGCCTGCTCTGCTCCCGGGAGCTGGGCTGGCATGAGGGGCCATGTGTGTGGGGAGCTGTGGGGCGCACAGGCTGCTGCAAGCTCCCCGCAGGGTGTGCACAGCAGCTGGCACAGCAAAGAGCTGCAGGCCTAAAGAACAAACCTGGGAGCTGCCAGGCCAGGGACCGCCAAGGGCTGGGAAGGATCTGCACTGGGAAGGTGAGGGGCTGCTGTCCTGCGGCTTCTCCGGGAGCAGAGGCTCTCCGTGGCTTGCTCTGCCCCTGCAGAGGGGCAGGCTAGCACAGGGAGCCTCATCGGCATTAAGAGGGCTGTTTCCTTGGCCACTAGCCCCCATCTGATCAACTACGAGGAGCATTAGGAAGCAGCAAGTTCCAGAGCACCCAAAGAAGCCTCCCTCCCTCCCGGTTCTGAGCTGCACACTCAGAGCCTCCTCTGACCCTCGGATCTGCGAACCCAAGCAGATAGCGAGAGAGGTCCCCGTCTGTCTCCGGCAGCAGGGATCTCAATGATTGTGTCGACACTGCAGCACCAACATCGGGAGCGAATACACCACCTCCTGCTGCTGTAACTGCCCGAGCTCCACTGACTTCACTTTGCTCACAGAGAATCCCCCTGACCCGCACTCATCCCCCTCCGGTGCCCTGGAGCCAGCCCGTTTCTGTGCGCTTCACGTTCAGTGTAGAGCTCCCACGCACCGGCATTTTGGGCCTGAGCCACCACTAAGTTTCACATGCATCATCCCTGAATGCTGGATCGTCCCTGGTCCATGCATCACGTACATCGTCCCTGATCCTGCACCGGCCTGGTGGCAGCAGAGTGACAAAGAACAGTGAGAGCAATTAACAGCCCAGCCATTCAGCATGGGCGCTGCACAGCATCCCCTCGACAGGAGACCGCTGCAGCATTGGAGTGTGACCTCCAGCCAGTGTCAGACTTCCCTCAACGCGTTCAGCAGCTGCAGGCAACAGGTGCTGCATCAACCGTGCGCTCCCCTCGGGAGCCAAGATGAGGACGCAGCTTCCTCCGCTCCACGCGCCATGGGGAGAAGAGGAGATCTCCAAGGACGTGGATGAAGAGAAGCAGGAGGCTGGCAGGGCCCTCAGGAGGCTTGGGGGTCCAGCCACTCTCTGAACCAGCACACGCAGCTCTTTGGCTCACTAGCCCGGCAGGGTTTCCGCAGCTTTCTCAGCCACCTGCTCCAGTGCCTAATCACCCTGACCCAGTTTAAGCCCCTGACTTCTTGCCCAGCCCTCTGAGAACTACTGATGGACCACCCTCCTTTGTATAACAGCCCTCCATATCCAAGGACTGCCATCAGACCCCACCCTGCATTTCCTCTTCCCTGTGCTGTATCAGTCCGGCTCTTCCAACCTTCCCTCCTGTCATCTACACTTACCTCCCAGACCCCCCCATCCCTGCAAGGCTGTCACCCAGTGAAGAGCATCTCCCACACAGAAGTCCTGGTTCCCCTGCTTCGTGTCCATTCTCCGGTCTGCCAGCCCATGCTGCAGCCAGAGGCACTGTCCGTCTGGCCAACCAGCACTGCGCCGGGCTCCCTGGGAGGGACTCGCTGCCACATGCTGCAACACGGCTGAGAGACACTGAGCGAGGGACAGACGCAGCTGGGCCTGGAGAGGCAGGAGCTGGGAAATGCATTCAGCTACTGCTCTTGGGATCCCGTTTGCCTGAAGGCAGCCAGCAGTGCCTGGCCCTGCTGGAGAGCCCTGCGGTTTAACAGCCCCACACACAGAGGGCTTAGGGCTGCCTGCAAGCATCACTGTGCCATGGGAGTCTCTAATCCCAGGAGGCTGGGGGGGCCTTGAGCAGCACGGTCCATCCCCTCTGGCTGAGACAGGCAAACACTGCGAGATGCCTGTCGTGGGCAGGTGACAGGTCCCCACACTCAAGAGGGCATGTGGCTCTCCCTGCAGCAGGAGATGAGCAGCCTCCAAATCCCACCCAACTGCTCTGCTCAGATACGTGAACGACCAACTGACTCCCATGTTCGCAGGTGTCCCGGGAGGCTCTGCGCAGGCCGTGTGTCAGTCCTGCATGCACAGAGCCAGACCTGCTCCCACGTGCTGTGTTCAAAGCCACCGTGCAGCACGCTGAAATGCTGGCATCACACCCGGGCTCACTGCCATCCTGCCTGGTATGAACAGAGTGAGCAAGTGTGGAAAGCATTCGCACCTCCCACCGAGCAGGGGCACCGGGGCTCTGCTCACAGGGCCAGTTTGGCCCCAAATTTTAAACTGCACCTGAGAAGGTCATAAACCCACTCGCAGTTCAGCAAATAACATCATTTCTCTTTCAATCACCCATCCCTGGTGAGACCTGCCACCAAGACACTGCGGTGAATGGACAGAATTGCGCTGGACCCAGAAGGCCCTGGAACAAGTGGAGGGCTAGCATTCACACAGGGAAAAGCTCTCTTTAAAACCATACAAGCATCCAGCATCCCTTCCACAATGCACCCAGCCCTCCTCAGTGCACGCAGAGTGATTTTCCCCCTGTTCAGCCTAAGACTTGTTCCCTATTAAGATGCCCCAAGGTTTCTTTCAGGTCCCAGCGCCCACATGAGCTATTCCACAAGCGCTGGATGCTGCAGTTGCTATTCTGGCCAGTTCCCTTTGCAGCCACGTCCTCAGCCAGATGCGACTTGCACATGACGGGCCTCGAAGAAGTAGGCAGTGACAGCAAGAGGTTCTGGTCCTGGCCTGCCAAGTGCTTGGCCTTTTCTAGTGGGATTTGCGTCAGATCCTCTCCAAGAGCGAGGAAAGCAGTGCCATGCTCCAAACCAGGAGGCAGCATTCAGTGCCCAGGAAGTGATCTCTGCAGGGAGTTTGTCAAGTGCCTTTGGCCCATGGGCTGAGAAAGTATATCAGCATAAGATCATTAGCATTACTCAGATGGCAGAGAGGAGTGGGCTCCATCCAAGCCTTGCGCAGCCATCCAAGCTGCAGCTATAATTAGCTGAATGCTCCCTGGTAAACAGGCAAACGGACGCATGGATCTCATTCCCGTTGCAAACTATCAACCAGTGGCTAGCATGGGCCAGCAGAACTTGGCGCTCCTTGCTGATGTCCCTGCCCAGAGCCGGGGCCTGCCAGGGAACAGACGCATCTTCTGCTGAGATCCCCAAGTCCGACCGTCCCGAGCTCGGCTACAGGGTCCCTCGTTTCATCCCAACAAGAGCAGCGTCTGCACTTGATGGATTTGGTGATTCAGAATTTAAATCACAGGCTTGGCTCAAAAGTGAACTTGGGCCAGGGGATGGTGACAGCCCCAAGCGCCTCTCTGCCCTCGCAGAGACGTACCGTTTACAGCAGGGCAGACAAAATAGGGAGGCACTGCATGCTTGCCTGCTTCTACGCTGCCTCTCAAAAAAGCACAGTGTGCCCGGAGCAGCTGTCTGTCTCCTTGGCAGATGGATCAGGCCTCTTCTCTGTCCTGAGGCTTTCTGTGGTCTGGGGAGCAGAAGGGTAACTTGCATCCGTCCTGCTCCGTGGTGTTACGGAGGCTGCTGGCAGGCGAGCTCCAAGCTGGCAGTGCGCAGCCCAGCTGCACCCTAAGGGCAGGGCAAGAAGAAGCAGCGACGCTGGGTCAGAGCAGCAGATGGGATGCAGGAGGCACAGGTCCTGCTCTGCTGTGTCTGGCGTACTTAACCCAGCCCCTATCACCAGGGGCATCTCCCCACCTCTACTGGATCTGTCTTCATGTCCCCTAGGCCTCAGGGCAATGCCATCATCTATTTCCAAGAGCCCAGACCCTCAGAGGAATGTCGGTGCCCAACTCTCACTGAAAGCAACATACCCAACCCAAGAGCATCGACCAGCTGCCACCTGGATAACGGCACCCCCTTCACCTTGCACACAGACTTCTGGTAATGGGGAGGATCACTTGAAGCTGGGCTCCCATGGGCCTTGGAGAATCTGGACCTAAGTGACCTGCCCAAGGTCACACAGCCAGGCTGTGGTGGAGCTGGGTCTTGGACCCAGATGTCCTGAGTCCTAAGCCATGCCTCTACCCACCAGATCATTCTCCTCCCAGAGGCAGGGAGGAATAATACTGACCTCCATGAGTGGGGGGGCCTGGGCCCATCCTCCGATGGCAGCATCCCCTAACACTGCTCCCAAAGACAGGGGTTTGGTGCAGCCCGCAGGGCCAGCATCATATGCTCTGCGCACACACTGTCCTCAGGGCTGGGGGAAAAGGACTCCATTAAACCAGCCCCAGGAAG